CCTTGTAAAAGTAAAGCAAGTTTATTACAAAAGAAGCAGAAATGATAAACAGGCAAAATAATTTAAGGAATACCTACAATACCATCTACCCAGCAATAGACCATCTGTATTAATTCTTTACTATCTATCCACCTAGATCCTCTTACAGTATGTAAGCATTTTGTATGTGGAAATCATTCAAATGGTATTATATACCTTACCATAATTTACATTACATGTTACCACGGGCTTGAACCACCAGTGGTACATGCATGACTGACCCATTGGCTGGCTTCTACCACCCAATGGGACTGTCTGTGCCACTTAATGGGACAGTCAAGCATGAATCACTGGTGGTTCAGAGCCACTTGGCACCAAGACATATGAATGCATTAAACCACATAGCTGTGAGAAATGTAGGTGTTCTAAATAATGCCCTATTGTTTGGTGTGTAAATAGTTACAAATTTTCGTTACAACAATCAGCTCCCTGGAGGAAAAAGTGAATATATATTACAAATTTAAATGCAGCAGTGAAAAGAACTACAGATTTTAGGAATCATGCATCATTACCCAAGTTCTATCACTGTTCTATTAATCATTCTTGCATGGATGAGTTCACTGAACAAACGAACATGTACTGCATATATGTACCTGCTATACGCCTGACATCTCACTAGTTGCTGGGGAGGCAGTAAATACACAGATGTTGTCCACCTCCTCACAGGCAAGAAACAGGGATACAGACAGTTGCAAATGCTTTGAGGAGTTACATTATGGATAGCATAGAGTTTATGAAATTACACTAGAAAAATCAGTGAGCAGGGCTAAACATTTTGAAGCCGTTTGGGGTGGCAGCTACATTACGCCATCAACCAAATTGCTTCTTGAAAATCACTTTCCTACAAATCACCTGGGCTCTTAGCTCATTCTTCTGCTTTAACTTCTCAATCTTCCCAAAACTGAAAAACCAAAACAAACAATAAAGTCTCTGTGGCAGCAGCATAAACCTACAGCATATGTGGAGATCATGCATCTTACTGACTTTCTGAATTAAAAGGCAGTAACAGGTGGAACTGAGCGAGTATGGCCCTAGCCTATCTTTCTGTGAAGTCTCATGGAACTAACTAGTATTTTTCAATTACTTCCATGTACAATTATCTGAATTTTCTATTCATGGAACGCCTATGACAGGCCGTAAACTGTGCATATTTCTCCTAAACTTCGTAATCCCAAACAGTGGCTATTTCTATTCTTACTTTACAGATTAAGAAACTGAGGCTTACAGAGATTTCAATCGCATGTCCAGAGATACAAAGTCGGACTAGTCTGTGTAGTTGCCATTCATTCTTCTCCCTTGGGCTGGGGAGATAGCTCAGAGGCACAACACCTGCCTTGCATGCATAAAGTCCTGAGTTTGATTCCTAGTACCAATATAATAATAATAATAATGATAATCTATTCATTCTCCTCCCTCCTCCAATCTTACAGTTTCCTACAGGAGGACAGCTGTGGATCTCCTGTTTCCAAGGCACTGCCTTGAAAATGGACCTATCTGCCATGGTCTGAGAGGAGCAAGATAAAGAAGTCTGCCCTAAGACAAGGCATAATGTGGGAGCGGGCCCATGGAGCAGGCACTGCCCCGCTACCTCAGAGCAAAGCTGAACCAGAAGAGTACAGGGCTGAACCAGAAGAGTACAGGGCTGCACCCTGGCAAGAGAGACAGTGTGCTGCCTCCATACCTTCAAATAGTCAACCTTTCCCTCATTCTTCTCACCTAAAAGGAAGCAAGAAAGCCACTGTCATTTCCAACTTCTGAAAGCCATATCCCTGGACCCTTTCCAGCATTCTTCCCACTGGCCCTGTAAAAGCAGCCAAAGAACGCAGCTCTGGTTCAAGCATCCATACTGATTCCAGTGGGTTGGTGAGGTCAGAGGTTCGGGTTAGGGTCTGAAGTCTCACTTAAAGCCTGGGTTCAGTACTCTGAGCTGACAGTCACCCACTTCAAGCCTCAGCTTTAAACTGAGCCTTAAGAGCATCTCTTCCACTGACCACCGACATGTGAATGACAGTTAGATGAGAGTACTGGTATGCAGGAATTATCCCAGGGGCAAAGAATTTTGCCTGGGATGGGTTCCATTTAGTGGTGGTTGAAAGGAGTGAACAGAAAGCAATGAAGTCACAGAGAGAAAGAGAAAGATACTGAAAGGAAAACTAATTACACACCGATTTTGTTTCAGAATATCAGGATTTCCATTTTATTACCACAAACCACTTCACCAATCTTACAACAGTATACGAAAGTCAGTTTTCTAACAGAAAAAACTTCTGTCCATTTCTTCCCATTAAAATTGGAATTTTACTTCTGTTTATAAATGTTTTTAACAAGCACCAAATCTGTTCAGGCACTGTTATGCAGATGATTATGTTATAATTTCAAACAATAGGGAAAGTATTATTGAAGCCCCCAAAATCTTTTATTTTTAATATAATTAAAGTTAAATAGGGTGTAATAAATTGCCTACACTCCCATGGATGTTCCAGGGCAAAATCATGAGCTATATATATCAAAGCATGAAGTTCAGAATAAGAAATTTTCATCTGCAACAGGACTCCTTGTGACATTCTTCCCTAATACAGGCCTGTACAGTCAACAAGAGAGTTTGAGGAGAATCCTAATATGCTTATCCAATGCCACTTTGCATGATCTCCACAAATTCTAGAAAATCTGCTATACAAATGTACACTGTATTTGCTATACAAATCACCCTGTACAGATATATCTTGTACTTTCTAAAGGTATCATGGCAAGCATTTGGCACAATTAGGTGTTACTAAGCGTGTTACCCCTTATCTCCTGCTCAGGGATAACCAGAAGCAGAGTGAATTAGCCTTTTGGTATTCTCAGAAATTTAGATTGAAGGATAAACTTCAAACTCTAGCACTCATTTATGATAGCGATTGAAATCACCACAAACTACAGACATCCATTTTATCTCGAGAGTACTTGTAAATTTATATCATCTCAGTATCCATTTTATAAGTTCAGCTTTCTTCTACAAGAAGCAGAGCTCTGTCACCCTTGACACCCATCATGGCAGAGCTCCAGGTGGCCAGTGTTAAAAGCTTTGAGGTATCTCTGCCACCTAGCAGGTGGGCCCTTGCTTTCCTGCTGCTTCCTTTAAAGGGACCATTCAGACATTTGCTGGTGAAGATCAAAGGGTCACATTCCTTAAAACTGGTGCCTGCCTCTGTCTCCCTGCGTGAGGTCCCTTACCCTATTCACATCTTCCAGGTGTGCTATGCACCCCAGGGTCTGTAAATACTGAAGAAACTCTGAAACTTTCACACTGGGCTTGGGTCAGACAGCCATGCTGCACTATCACCCCAAGGCCGAGGCTGCTGAGGACTTTTATGTGCGGCCTCTGGTGGCTTCTGGGAACATTAGCTGTCAGTTGAGTCAGTAGCGGAACTCAGTGAGTTTCGTTCAGCACACCTGATTATCAGATATGTGTTGGACCTAGGAAGAGGAATTACCTATTTTTAAATGACTTCATTAGAGTTCTCAACTGTCACTTTATTTTTTTCTTATTTATTTTATTTTTTTCTTAGTACAAGTTTGAAGTACATAATAGTTATATTTATCATAGGGAGTTTGCTCGTGTGCAGTGTGCCACTTTAAAATAAAAACAACATATTAGGAGTAAAGTGATCGACGTAAAATTATCCTGCCCATCTTGGCTTCACATAGAGAAGGCTGCCGTATTACTGGAAAATTGTTTTTAAATCAATAATTTAACTTTATACTTCTCAATCCATTCTCAAAGAGCCAAAAAATCTTAAATTGTGGTAGAGGCCCACCCTAGAAACACAAAAACAATTGTCAGACAAAAAGCTCTAGAGGTGTAAAGGGCCGATTTTTATGCTATCTGATGAAAATAACAATGAAACTTTTAAAAATTATTCTTGAAAGAGCATGGGTACAATTATGTTGGGAACTCACTGTGGGACAATAAAAACAAATGAAATGTGTCTTTTCGTATAGCAATTCTTTCTTTGCAAAATACCCTTCTCTGAAAACTACTCCTCCTCAGGGAGCCCTGGCCAGGTCGCCTGGTTACCTGTGATGCAGAAGCCCCCAGAGAGTTTTGACTCCAGAGAGGCTTCATTAAGGCCAGTACAATCCAAGAGGGTTTCGATACAAAAAGGAGCTATTCCTGGAGGAGTGCTCTTTCTAAAATGTCAACAACTAACTAGTTAGTGAGGACACCTGACTAACAAAATGAAGGACACTGGAAGAAGGGGAATGTGTCTGGGGAGACGAAGGTAAGGGCCACCTTGAAGGGGTTGGCAGAGATACAACCACGCATGAGTGAGTGAATTCTGGGGGATGAATTTTGAATCACATGTTTAAAGCAATCCGAAATGACCCTTCCCTCAAAAGAGCCAGTAATCATTATTTTAGAGAAACAGAAGTAGCTAGGTGTGGTGGAGCACGCCTGCAATCCCAGGACTCTCCGGGCTGAGGCAGGAGGATCTCAGTAAATGTGAGGCCAGCCTGGGCTACATTGTGAACTCAAGGCCAGCCTGACAGAGACCCTGTCTCAAAACACATAATTAAATAAATAGCCAACTGTCACCACTGTAATGAAGTCACTTTTAGATAGTCTGCTGCTACATGATGTTTTTGTTAAATAACTGAGGTCCCAGTTTTCCAATCCAGAGAACAGGGGGCATGCAGAGAGCCTCTTGAACGCGTTTGCACAGTAGGGGGTCAGATGGGAGGACCGGGTGAGGATGTCCTTGTCCTAAAGTAGGCAAGATTCCTTTCCAGGAAAGTACCTGCACGGCTGATCCTCAGCCCGCCAAGCACTGCACCTCAAGATACATTTACCTAAACCCTCAGCAGGCGCCAGCCGCCACCCTCTGCTAGGCGTAAAAGTTAAATTCTTTGATTCTACAAACCCTAAAAGGTCCAGACGAGTATGCAAGGAACCACGAGCATCGGAACTTCCCACCTACCGGGCCACTTTGCGTCCTCCGAGACCCCAGGTCAAAGAGCACCGGGGAAATTGAAATCCACGCGAGGGCGGTGGTTACCGTGCACCGGGCGCTCTCTGGTCGCTGCTGCTCCTCGGCTCCCGCGCCGGCTGCTGGGACGCCGACTGCACCGACAGAAGCAGCGCCGCCTGGGGACGCGCAGGTGCCGGGACGCGAGCTGCGCGCAGACCCGGGAGCCGCCGCCGCCCGCGGCTCTATTAATACTCCGAGCGCGGCTGACCCAGGGCCAGGATCCCTCCGCCCTGGCAGGAAGCGCTGGGGGACAGTGCGCCGGGGTGTGGGACGTTCGTCTGGGGAGGGCCAGGCGGGGCGACCTCCAGCAGCCCTTCAGCGCAGAGCCCGGGCCAGGCCAGCGACCCGCGCAGAAACCTGCTCCTTGCTGCAACCTCTGCAGGGTCTGATCCGGCGGCCCAGGCGCCCCAAGCCAAATACGAGGAGCCGTGCTGCCGGCCGCCAGCCCCATGAACCTATTTTGGGGCCGCTGCTGTGAACAGAATCTGCTCCCCCATTCATCCAGTTCTGCGCTGACATTTAAGAGTAGGACAAGTGAATTCCTTCTCCTGATCCGATTTCAGACATTTGCCTCTGCAAAATTCTAAGTTTAGAGAAGGAAAGGGGTGAGCATGCAGTGACCGCGTGGTAATCCCAAAAAGAGATAAGAAATTGGAAAGGGTCAACTTTTATGTGGCCTTTAGATTAAAGTTTTTTAAACGCTGTATTTGGTCCTCCAAGCCCCTAGTTCAGTTGCAGTCAGGTTCTTGCTGTAAATTTAAATTTGATCAGCAAGAACTCTTTAGTCATTCCTCCAGCCGCTTTATGTTTAAATTCCCTTAGGAGCTTTTAACTGAGGCTGCTGATAGGACAGGAGCGACATTTCAAAGCACATTTATGACAACTACATTATGGAACTGCATTTGTAATCTAGGCCCTTGAACGGGCCAAAAGAAAAAATATCATGCTCTTCTTTTGCACAGATCATAGTTTCTTTCATTAGTTACTTCCTCCTGCAATCTTAATTACAGTTCGCAAGAACTAAGATGAGGCACATCTTTTCTCCCACAGAAAATTTATTTCTGATATACTTTCAATCAGAACTATACTAAAAACATTCAAATTAAATTGTAGGAAGATTCTGTAAGTTTCTTATCATTTGTAATGAGTTTTATTAGGTAAAGGACTGGAGTCTAGTGAGGAGAATATCATTATGAATATTAGAAATTAAACTTTGGTTACTCTGTCAACAATGCTTGGAAAAGAATACACTCTGGAAAATTTTCACTCTTTTTTTCAAAAGCATTATGATGAATAACCCTCCCCCCCAGTTCAGCATAGTGAGAGCAGTGTTAGCTACTGTTAAGGTATGTACCTTTCTGTGTGAGACACATCAGGGCCTGCCGAGACCAGGTCAGCTTGCAGAAATACCAATTTAAAAACCCAGACAAAGGTCACCCTTTTCTCCAACTCCCACCCTCATCTCCAAGCAGGGATTATACCATTCAAGTTTGTTTTTCAACACCAACGAGCAAACCTAGGGGCTTCCCACTGAACTAATCCCAGCGTTTTGTTTTGTATTATTTCATTAAACAGAATCTAAGTTAATTATGTCTAGGTCTTTAAGTAAACTATGCTGTGCTCCAATTTGTGATCCTTCTGGCTCAGCCTCCCAGAGTGCTGGGATTATGGGCATGTACCACCACGCCCAACTTTGAAATTTCTTAAATTGACAACCAGAACCTGCCCTGTGATTAATGACTATTTTTTTTTTTGTCTCTTAAATCTAAATTTTTTTTTTTAATTTTAAAGAGTAAAAGAAGGATAACATAATAATAGGGGGGATTTAGCAAATTACAGACAAAATGGTAGGAAATTATCAATGGTTATTGTTTTACATATTGTTATCTACAAAATAGTTTCTCAGGAAAACAAATAGACAAATAATAATGAGTTACAGACAAAAGAGGTAGGAGATTATCAAGAGTTGTTGTACTATACTTTGGTATCTTCAAAGTGGCTCCTAAAGAAAATAAATAGAGCTATACATGAGTGACCTATTGAAAAATCATTAACTATTCTCAATGGTTGTTGTAGGAAACACATAATAATAAACATACATCCATTTATGAAATAGGATAGGAACATTACAAACTTTACACAGTTATCGATAGATTAGTAGGAAAATATCAATGGCTGCTGTAATACATGGTGGTATCTTCAAAGTGGTTTCTCAGGAAGACAGAGATATGCAAGAAGGATCTAATAAGTAGTTACAGCCTAAGGGTTGTCAAAAATAGCATATTACCTCCTCACCAGTGACTCCTTTCACTGAGGTATGGTGGCTGGAAGGAAGGCCAGGATTGAAAAGAAGGACCGAGAGACTCGCACCTGTGTCTAGCAACAGGCTGTTTTCTTGTTCCTCCATAGTCATGATTACCCAGGGCTCCTTGATGGAGATGACTATCTGGCCAGAGGGAGAAGGCAGGCCATGCCCCAAGCCCTCTCATTCCTATTGGACTAACTGGTAGCATGGGTCTGAGCTCTGGGGCCTCCACCTCAGAGGGGATTAATGACTATTTTTAAGTGTTTTAAAATGACCACTTCTAGTTGGAAGAAATTCTTAATTTCCCAGGTAGAATGAGGCATTCTCTCAGCTATGATTCCCAATACCTCTCATATCTTTCACAGAGCATAAAACACAGAAGCACAGTTAGTTGGTTCTAAGTCTGTCTTTCTCAACTACATTAAAGTATTTTGAGGGTAGAATTTAAGTTCTTTAAATCACTGCTAGTGTAGATCTTTGCTAAATTACTTGCCAGCTTATTTCAACTATCATATTTATTTCCAGAATAAAAAATCTATTTTTCTTGCACTTTTTTCTTCAACTACTGCATAATTCCCCTGTGTCAAGCACTACATATCTCAAGAAAAATTCTACCTCTCCTATAGTTAGAAACACATCTGACACAGAGCCTGGCACACAGTGAGTACTCAGGAAGTGTATCCATATTACAGAATCCAAAATATCCCCAGCAAAGAGCTGATAATAGGACTATATGTGTATTGTGGTGTTAGGGGCGGATCGGGGAGGGGGTATGTGAGGGAAAGTAAGCCAGGCAGGTATTTTCTATGAAAAAAAAATTCGTTTATTTCAATCTAAGTCCAAACTACCATGACACATTATTCAGAATACAATTGGCATATTTTGATGCTGAAAATAGAGAAGAAATATAACTTGCATACTTCACAAAAGAACCTCAGGCCAGGAGAAAGACTATTGCAAGGGAAGTGGGAAATATTGCAAAAGGAATCTTTTATTATTTACAAGCAACCTAAATCACATATGGCTTTTGTAAGAATTTTTACATGCAATTTATGAGAAGACTGTCAAGGCCACACAGATTTAACTGGAGGTTGAAAAGTTGGAAGATCAAATTTGGAAGTCAGGCAAGAACCTGAGTCAGCTCTAGAAGTTTGCAAAGGTGGCACATAGTAAGCACCTTTTTCGAAATCTGACCAAGAGTGCTTCCTCACCTTACTAAAGCTGAAATAATGCCACAGGAAAACCTAGCTCAAGTACCCAGAGAGGATTCAGGGTTTGTATAATGTGACCCGGTCAGTCAAGTGTGTGCCTGGTCAGTTGTGCCTGGAACCAAGGGTGGAGATAGTCTTCCACTTACCTTTCCCAGGTGGAGAAGTGCACCCACCACTGGCTTTCTAAAGGAGGGAACCCACAAACAAAAGTAAGAAGGAGAGTTAGATATGCAGCAAGCCTCCCTCCACTTAAAAAGACAGATTATTATTCTCAGTGTTCTATCGATCTAAGATATTTTGAACACTTACCATGTGGTATTTACCTAAGAAACAATACTTATTACTTCTAGTCTCTAATTTAAAGTTAGGCATTATTCTTACAATGCATAGTGTGGAGCAATAGAGCTGTAACTGAACTCAGTCCCATGAATTTCAAGAGTTCTTCCTTCTCGCAGTAGGTGACTGAACTTTCTGTTTCATCTGAACTGACATCTCACACACACACACACACACACACACACACACACACACACACACTTTGCTTCACAGATTAAGGGATTTGGAGAATGGCACTGAGCTATTAAAAACCATTCAACATTGACTGTGGCTCTTACAGCTAGCAGAAAATGGACACAATTGATACTTATTTGTCTGGTGATCAGGCATTCTGTCAAAAAAATTTTATTCAGCTTTGTTGATGTGACAGGCACTGAGTCAAATATGTCATCAGAATAAGACATCATTGCTCCACATTTGGTCCCTAAGAAAATACTATTGTTCTGGAGAGAACGAGGTGCAGACAGTTCAATCACAACCTGCTGTATTAGAGGCTGTAGTAGAAGGATATACAAAGTTATTTTAAAAAATAGTACTGAGCAGGCAGAATAGTACTCATTGTGAGAAAAAACTTAGTTTGTGCTCAGTAACAAATAAGCCCCAAACAAGATTTATTACCTAAATGTTGTAATTCATATCTATGATATTTCATTGCCCATCGAGGCCTAGGATAGTAGAGAAGACTCTCTCTGGATCACCAAGAGATTCAGTTAAGAGAGATGAGTAACCCAGCAGGCCACGCCCTCACAGCACGCTGTCCAGGAGCAACACTTGGTATTTGTGTTACATGGCCAAACCTAACACAAATAGGGCAGAAAAATAAAATCTGCCCCCATGGAAGAAAGGTAAATGTTTGTAAATAAACATATATTCTAGCAACAAGCCATCTAGGAGAGGACAGCAATAAAGTCTTCCCCAGAGAGAAGAATTGTGAAGAAGTCAGGGGGAAGGTGAGCTCGTGGTTCTACTTGGAAATGAAACCTCTGCCCTTTATGCATAATCATGGGAAAGTTACCAAAATTGGTCTAGGCCTCTGCTTCCTTAATAGTGAGTGGCAAAATAAAGTAACCTCATGGGGGGACTAGAGAGGGTAAATGGAACAAATATTTAGCACTGTGTGTATAGAACATAAATGTTAGCAATTATTAGAATAAAGATGTAATATTTAGGCTGAGTTTTGAAGAAATGAATGGAAGTTTATTATGTTGATGGGGTTAAGTAGTTTTCTAGACAGAGACATGGACAAAGTGTTGGTATTTGTCCCCAAATCAAAACCATTCACTGTTTCTGAGTGAGTTTTGGCAGTTAGGGAGGAATTTCAATTTGAATGGTTTGAGATCCACCCGAGGAATCAGTGGAGCACACTTCTGGG